GATGCACTAAGTCCCGACTCAAAAGCGCTCTAACACCTGGGAATGTTCCCTCGTAAGTGATTTTTCTGCGTCATACGTTTGATAAACGTAGCAAGAAAATTCATGAAGTCGCTCTTCATATACCTTAGTACCTATATCGATTATCTATAAGCTCTTGGAAGTCATATTGAAATCTGAAAAATTTCTGTAGTTTTTTTCAAAGTTCTACGGCTACACTGTCATTCAGAAATAGTATTATTTGACTAACGAGTCTGAAATTGTATGTAACTCACTATACAGGAGATAGAAATTTTCTTACGGCATTTACCCCATCATCTACTAGATTAGGAAAAGAAATAGTTTAGAAAGTGTGTTTCCAATGTGGTTCATTAATCATTCAATTTTATAGTCTAAAATTGTTTCTCATTTCTTTTTTTTGCTCTTCTCTGTTGGTGTAGTATTCACTTTCTACGTGCAAGGATCGGATGCAATTTATCAAATTTGATAAGATGTATTCAATTATTGAATATTTTTTTTCAAACTGCCACTCGAGTTGAAAAAAAAATATCCTTTACTTGTTGTAGTGGGCATTGCTGTTGTTAATAGGGATCCAGTTGCTGGACAATTATAGAATTGACGAATTTCTTGAATATCAATTGGACTTAACTTATAACGTTGTCCAGTTTTGACGTTGGCTTGAAGTAGTTTAATTGTTGGTGAAGAATTGATGGAAAATGCAGTTTCTTCATAGTGCATTATTGATGCATAATCGTATGGAGTATTGAGCGTATTGACCGCCGTATTATCGTATTTTTGAAAATTCGATTGCGTGTCTGAACAATAAGAAAGAAAGTATATCATTAGTAAATTTTTTTGAAATGTCATTTTCACAAGAAAAAAATTAATATTACTTGTTTGTATATTCTTCCAAATAATTTCTACATAAGCATCACGATCAGGTCGTGATTGTTCATGATAGAATCCTGTTTTAAATAGATGAAAAAAGATGCATTTTAATCATTAGGTAATATTTCATTAGGAATGTTCTGCATGCATATAAGAAGTTAAAAACTATCTCAACTGATTTATATTACAGGCTAATATCTGTTACGATGGTATACTGTTTTCTATTTATTTCGATGCTTAAAAAATTAACATTTAAAAAAAAATTGTATCAATTTTTTGTAATTTAATTTATTTGTGTTTCGCATTCTAACAGAAAACATTTTCGAATGATCAAAGAAAATCTTGATCTGAAACTTTTGTTATTCAAATCAAGGTTGTCATTTCTATATGCTATGATTTTCTCTTTCAGTACAAAAAGAAAAAAAAGATTCAGCATAAATTTTTCCAAGATGTTTCAAATAGTTGAATGAACATGAGTTAAACATCAATGGTGCTTACCTAATGTATGTATAAATTCGTGCATAGTTCTTCCATCATCAAAGCAACCTGGATAATTTAGTGTAACAGTTCGTTCCATGGTGAATTCCGTATTTTGTCCGACCTAAAACAAAACCGAGCAATACTTATAAAAAAAAACTGGAATATTGCATTTAGCTTACATATGAAGAACAGCCTTCTCCATTGCGTATAGTAATATAATACACATCCGATGATACTCTCGGTCGAAACTGTATACATCGTACATTGTTGATAGCTATTAAACTTTCCAATTTTCGCATTCGGCTAACAATAGCTGCTTGTTGCTCAGCCGCTATAATAGAGAACAAATACATTATCTACATTAATTAATTATGATTGAGTGTATTCTGTTGGTTTTTCTGATTATGTTGTACTCAAAAATCAAAATAAGATAAGTATAATTGTAGAAAATACATACTGTAACCCGTTGCAAATTCGTAGGGCACAATACCATTTGGCCAACGTACACTAGTACCAATCTTTACTACTCCACGCTTGATTAAATCAAAAAGAAAATACAAAATAATTATTTTCAATATAGAATAGTTATTAAACACGTACGTTTCGAGCTGGCGGTAGAAGTATGTCGCCTTCAAAGGTACCATCTGGAATGGAGATGAAAAATAAATCAGCATTTGCATGTACAAATCAAACATGACAGAGTTCAAAAATGTGATTGAACAAAAAAAAAAGACAGAAGTTTTGGAGGGACCGAACAGTGGAACATTAACCATAAAGGTGAATATACGAACATTAATCAATAGTCTATTTTGCTCTGAATTGTTGTTAATAACAATTCAGATAATACCTGAAAGCTACGTGTTGAGCAATGCAGAACTGGGTAAAGATTTGGAGAATTATTTACTGGTAGAGCACTTATCTAACTACTATTTTGATAAAAGGTTGTGGAAAGCTAAATTGTAAATACTGTTGAAATAAGCGGGCATAAGGATACGAATCAGGAAAATGAAATTGACGAGAAAAACCAAACTAGAAAAATTCATTTGAGTGGCAACTTACTTGTCTCTTCTAATTTTTGTTTCTTTACCGACAAGTCCTCCTTTGAAGTCTAAATTCATTCATGACATTTCAAATCCAAATTCATATACAGATAGTACTTACTACTACTACTACTGGCAATCTATATGCATCTGCAACGCTGATGACAATAGTCAATAAGACCAAAACCGGAGTAAACATTGCTTGTGCCGAATGGTTTGTGTAACTAGTATCGACTAGTTCTTATGCGAACCTTTATATACGAATGACTTTAATTATGCATGATTTATATCAATCGATAGCAAGTCATGTTTCTCCAACTTAATGATCACTCAGGGTGGAGATTTTATCTATAGAAATATACTTTATGAGTTACTTCCTCTATTGATGTTAGTCATTGTAAATACACGTCAAAAACAAGCACGATCGAACTTTTACCTGGTAGAAAAAACATGGCTGTCATTAGGAGTAAATCAAGAGTAAGTAGCATGTAATTAACAAAAATCTGAAGACGAATATTTCGTCTATCTGTATAAAATATTTTGACAAGGTAGTGCAATTATATATCCTTAAATGAGAAATATCGAGATTTATTTTAAGATTAATAGAGAAGACGCCTATGATTGCAACATAATTACATAAAATAGTAATTAGCATTGCTTGCCTTATTTTCTCTACTAAAAGGAAGATTACTCACGATTACTTCATCTAAACAACATGATGTTATTTTACCTTCTTAATTTTTTATTTTTTGATGTATTTCTTCATTGATGTGAATGAGAAGTTTTGTTTTGTCTATTCAATGAAAAATTGTAGAAATAAAAATGTTGATTTTTCTTTGGAACTTTAATAATTGGTTAGCAGTAATAGTTGATTGATCAAATGAATCATTATTAAAAAGATTTTCATGTCATATTCTGATTGTAGGCTAGATTATACAGAAATTACGAAGAGTGATGATGAACATAAGTTATTTATTTTGTGAGTATTATGTTCAATCAATATCATCGTTTCTGATATATTGTGTTCACCTTCAATATCCTTCATTCACTGTGTTATCTTCGGTTTGTATTTTATATAAAAATTTCAATGATTGTTTTCAATTTTTTTAATTCAGTTTTTTTTTATTGTCTAAGATATATCACGAATCGTTTTACCATCATGCATCAACATTGCTTCTCGAGATAGTTACGTAGACCTTATAGAATGGCATATGTGTGGTTTTTTTCCGTATCCGAACAAGACCTAATCTTGAGATATCTTTAGCCTAACTGTACTATATCAGGCATAGAAGTCGATAAAAAGAAACCATCATTAATCTAATATCTTGGATTTAGTAGAAAAGAATGTTTTAAAGTTTGTCTAATAGTTCTATTCTATTAATCTTTCATGGACGGTTGTAAGTCGAAGGACAGAATGAAAGAGATATTCTTGGGAAAAAAGAACGCTTTTCAAATCTTACATAAAATCAATATTTGTCAAGTTTAATATTGTTATTTTCTTTCATCAATGTTTCTTTTCAATGAATATTAATCATCTCCTTTAGTAAATTCAAACAAATTTTTAACTATCAATCGATGCAATATATAATTGTAGTTGAAGGAAACGAAGAGTTTTATATTTTGCTATCGAATTGGTAGACCCAAAGTATAGTAGTTCATATGATGAAAGCCATAACATACTTTCACTATTTTATTTCATTAATTTTTGCTATGAAGAATTCCTGATATATCTGTAATTATTGATCAATATATCCAAAAAAATTTTCTTTATTTACCATCATAATAATGAACGCCTTTTCGTATCTGTTAGATCTAATTGTTTGTTATCATTAAACGGGTTTTGACAGTTATGTATGTGATTGTTAATTTATATCACTTATTACTATGAAATTACTCTAGAATATATTTCTGTGTAAAAGATGAAGATTTGATTCTTAATTTTCACAACTTGCATCATGACGAACGAAAATATGCATGGTATAAAACCACTCTATTATCTACGTCTGTAACTAATCAGTTAATTACGTTTCGTATAATAGAAAAATCATACAAAATAAGATTTCGAATTTTTAGTATATGATATTTTCTTTTTTGTTCGTCGAGGCAATTTTCATTGATCTTTATTTATTGTGAAATTATCTTCTTACTGTTAGATGTACGAAGAAGGTAACTTTTTTCTAAAAACTTAAGTTGCTGATTCAAGTAAAATTTCAACACGATCTTTTACGTTAGTTTATTTGAAAGCACAGCATTGACAACTAATTAGTCAAGGTCAGATGTAAGTCGTTTTTGAATACCGTATGTCAATAAAAAATATTTATCTATTATGAAACATCAGAGAGATTATTATCTTAATGAAACTAAGAAAAAAAAAGGCATTCACATGTTGTCTGCTTCGTTTCACATACAACAGGTATGTGTCCTTCGACTCTATATAACATAGAAATGTACATGAAAGTCATATTAGCTATAGGTGTCTTTGAAATACGAAATATCAATCAAGAAATAAAGCATTTATAAATATTGACAGCTAATAATGAAGAAAAGTAAACATGTAACTAATGATTTGATCAGACAGATGTTTAACTTTCTTGGATTTTTCCCCATACAAGCACATTATGAAAGTAATGTGTTTACATCAAATATTGCCAGATATTTTTATCGAGCAATGCGATGAGTGGGGTGTGGATGTGGGTATGGGTGTGGGTGTGGGTGAGTGCGAGTGTGAGAATAAGACCCACACCCACATCCACACCCACATCCACACCCACGCCCACACCCACACCCACGCCCACACCCACATCCACACCCGCACCCACATCCACACCCACCCACATACTGGGTGTGCCAAAAGTTTTGCAACATTTTGAAAAGTCTCTATTTTCTGTTCGTTTATTGAGATAATCAGTTTTATTTTATATAGATGAGATACATTCGGGCCTTCCATCATTCTGATAGGATGATATTGTTTTACTTTCTTTGGGTTGGTTTTAAGACGGTAAAAAGCCGTGACCTATGAGATGTAGTTTTGTCCCACCATAAAAATGGGAAAAAAGTTCCAGAAATTGCAAAATTTTGGGCAAACAAGGTCCATCGAAGTACCAATGATTGTTGCCTATGTCGATGTAAAAAAACTTGTTAGCGCAACTCCTTTGGAGCTGAAATGTGGAGCTCCATATATCCTTAAACTTTAATATTCTAATACATCATATGTAAACTGAAAAATTTAGTGTACAATGTAGTTGTTTTCATTGATAATCAATGACAAGAGCGAGACTTTGTTATTTATTTCTACATTTAAAACAGAAAATTTTTTTTTTGTTTGAGAGCGCCCTATTTTTATTTTGCATCGTTGCTATTCGCTCATTATCTTTCAATTTTTTTTAATTTTAAATCGTTTTTCGTAACTCAATATTATTATTATTATATAGGGCACTACAAAAGTGTTTTCACCCGCTTCTTCTAAAAGCCGTAGTTTAAGTTCAAACATTCTGTTATAATGCTTAAACATATTTAGGATTATGGGCAAAATTTCAGCTTTATAAGTCTTATCATTTGTTGTTGTCCATCATTTCTTTTACGTTAGGTGCATGCGACTTGCTAACTGATGAATTGTAATAGATGGCAGAACTTTGCATTTCATATTTCGACTCTTAAATATGGTCTATATAAAAAAACAAAATATACCAGAAGATGCAGCGTGAAAAGCTCTACAACCTACAATGTAAAGCTTATCTTAATTGTGTGCTTTTTGTTTGAAAATAAACAGTGTTCTACGCAACCAATTTTCGATGCTGCTGCGAAAAGTACTTCGGAGAATTTCGCTTCTTTTTGAAAATAAAAAGTATACAATTAAAATAAACTGTTCTTTCTAAATTGTAGAACTTTTCACGCTGCATCTTTCGTCATATTCTGCTTTTTTCTAAGAAAGCATATTGATTGATAAAAAGATGAGATACGAAAAAAGGAAGTCATCGCTCATGTAGAATTTTTGCAGCGTCAAAGACTGGTTACTCAGAATTTTACATTTTTTTTTCAATAAAAGATGCATGTATGATATTATTGTTCTTTGCAAATTGCAGAGCTTTTCATGCTGCATCTGATGGTATGTTTTGTTTTCTATTTAAGAGAAGATATCAGATAAAGCAAAGATGACATAAGAAAAAACGAATGGTCTCTTATCAAAAACAAACATTGATTTCGCCTCATCGAAAATTTAGTGTTCAGAACTTTGTCAATTTTTGGCACTAAAATGCAACTGTAAAATTAATTCTCCTATACAAATTGTAGAGCGTTTCACGCTGCATCTTCTGGTATATTTTGTTTATTTATATAGACCATATTTAAGAGTCGAAATATGAAATGCAAAGTTCTGCCATCTATCACAATTCATCAGTAAGCAACTCGCATGCACCTAGCGTAAAAGAAATGATGGACAACAGCAAATGATAAGACCTATAAGGCTGAAATTTTATCCATAATCCTAAATATGTTTAAGCATTATAATCGAATGCTTGAACCCAAACTATGGCTTTTAGAAGAAGCGGGTGAAAAAACTTTTGTAGTGCTCCATGTAATACAAATCCACATCTTATTTTTGAGCAAGAGCTCAATGTACCATAAGTGATTGTTTAGGGAGGAATATGGTCAATGATGTTGTCGGATCATTCTTTTCTGAAGGTAATGTTACATCAGAAAAGTACTTTCAGATGTTGAAAGATAATATCCTACCACAACTTCAAGAACATCCAGTCTTTCAAACAATGATATGGCAATAAGACGGCGCATCACCTCACTATGGTTAAATTGTGTGAGATTATTTAGATGATACGTTCTTAAATTAGATAGGTCGTTGAGGAATTGTTGAATGGGCACCACAGTCTCCCGATTTAACTCCATGTGGTTTTACACTATAGAGAATGATAAAACATCGTGTCTACACTCAAAAACTTTGCGATGTAAACCATCTGAAGTCATTACTCAAAGAAGAATTTACATCGTCTAATGATAATATCGAATTATGCCAAGCAATCTATCGATCTGTAGATGATCGTTGTCAAATGTGTATTAAACGAGACGGAAAACAATTTGAATATTTGTGCTGAAGTATTGTTCATTTTGTTTCTAAAGAATATAAACAAAAATATTGGTTTTGGCACACTGATATTCTTTTCTTTTCATCTCGACAAAGTACCAGAACATGTATTTGATATTAAAAAAAGAAGCCTTAGTGAGCATTTATATTTAGTCTTGCGAGACTAACTTTTCTTTATCATATACTGTTTTTTTTCTATCTTTGAACAGGTCCCTATCATTGATTAAAAAGACCAGTTCATTTGCTCGAGTCGTAATGGAGATATTCAATTTTTTTTCGGTAAAGCGACTTTTAGGTCACCCTGTATTATAAATCTGGAATAGGCTACCAATGAAACATTGCTTTCAAAGTCTTACAAAATCTACTTGAGGAATATTATGTCGCTTCTATGTTACTCATGAATAAACCATTCCGATTAGAATAATACGCTTCTGTTTTTAAAATTTAGACCAGACAGTAAAAAAAATAATCTCTATTGACAAAAAAATAGTGCGAGTATAAAATTTGTGTTCGTTAAACTTTCATACAATAACAATGAGGAATTTCCCTTTCTGCTAAGTATCGTAATGTTTTTTGTGTAATTGATTAGTTAGTTTATGTTATACGAGACAATCATTATCAATAGCGAACATTAAATGTTAAGGAATGCAGTAGTATCAAGTAATCAATGATATTTTTATTTGTAAAGAAAATGAAAATAATTTGTATTTTAGAATTATTGATCAATACGTTTCAAATGTCTAATTCTGTTGATAATTTAATGAGCTCATTTCACTTCTTTATCAAATTAATATTTTCTAGGGTACAAAATAAAAATTCTAACATATCTAGAGAAAGTGCAGTTTGATTTAAATAAGCAAAATGGTATTGCAACATGTAAGTTTTAAAAAACGATCAATATGTTCATTTCACTGGGATCGACGTTCGACACGTAACCAAATAGGATTTTTACTAGATAAAACTGTTAATTGACCCAATTGAACTGGAACCTAGAACTCAACTAATAATTAGATAGTCAATGGTAAAATGATCATTACGTACTTCAGTCTTGTCACATTTCTGTATTTCAACTAGACGCAATGCTTTGACTATCGCAAGTTTAGCTTCTAACAGTGCAAATCGCATGCCAATACAATTTCTATAACAACAAATAGATACATAATCTGTTGATATCAACAAGTATGAATTCCATACCGTGGTCCATCACCAAACGGAAGATATGTCATTGGATGTCGTTTAGCTTTTTCTGTCGATAAGAACCTGATAATATTACCAATATTTTCACTAAGAATATCTATAGATTATAACATGAGATGTACCTTTCAGGTATGAATTTTTCCGGTTCAGGCCAAACATTAGGATCATGATGGATGGGATAAACGGGCACGCTTATAATAGAACCTTTCGGTATGTCATAATTACCAAATTGGTAATCTTTCGAGGCGACTCGCTCAAATCTATCAAAAAAAAACACACTTATCGGAGGAAAATAAAGACCATAGAAAATTACCTAGTAAACGGTGGATATATTCGAAGTGTTTCATTAATAACCATATCCAAATATTGAAGTTGATTAAGTTTTTCATAAGTAACTTCATCCTAGATACAACGATGATATATTAGTATTCTCTAGCACAAATATCACGTACATCTCCAAGTTCTTGATGAATTTCATTATAAACTTTTTCTTGAATTACTGGTTCTGTTGCCATGACATAGAAAAAGAATGACAGTAATACACTTGTTGTTTCATAACCAGCAACCAAGAAAACTAGAGCTTGACCAAGTATTTCTTTATCATTCAAAGCTAAAACCATGTTATGAGTTTATCTATAGTAAAATAATTGATTTTTTACTCTTTTTAAGTATTGCGGATTGTCGTTCTGGTTTATCAGTTTGCTCTTCATGTTTGACTTCTTCTTCATGATCAATCATCATTTGAATGAAATCATTTCGTCTTTCTGAATGTTGTCGACGTCGTGCTAATATTTGATCAACTAGTTGTGTTAAATAGTTCGTAGTATCTCTTGGTATCATTGAATAACCTTTCTTACTCAAATGACGAGCCAATCGAGGTGAAAGAACTATTTCCAATCAAAAAATAATAATCTACATAACATTTCTTCTTCTACAATATACTCACAAAAGACTAATAAAAATAGATTGGCCGCACTTAATGTAAAAAATGTTTTTAAATGATTGATAATAGTGATATTTTCATTCTGTAACGAATTGGTTTCAATACCAAATAGACAAGAAGCAATATTATCAAGAGTATATTGACCATTCAGCCTATGATTATAACACAACTGCACTAAAAATAATCACATTAAGCAAGAAATAGACATATACATTTTGACATCAAATATTTCTTGTT